AAGCTCTGTATGCTGCCCCTTGTTAATATAAAAGCTCTGTATACTGCCCCTTGTTAACATACCAAGCTCTGTATGCTGCCCCTTGTTAATATAAAAGCTCTATATACTGCCCCTTGTTAATATACAAAGCTCTGTATGCTGCCCCTTGTTAATATAAAAGCTCTGTATACTGCCCCTAGTTAATATANGCTCTGTATACTGCCCCTTGTTAATATAAAAGCTCTGTTTGCTGCCCCTTGTTAATATAAAAGCTCTGTATACTGCCCCTTGTTAATATACCAAGCTCTGTATGCTGCCACTTGTTAATATAAAAGCTCTGTATGCTGCCCCTTGTTAATATACAAAGCTCAGTATACTGCCCCTTGTTAATATACCAAGCTCTGTATGCTGCCCCTGGTTAATTTACCAAGCTCTGTATACTGCCCCTTGTTAATATACAAAGCTCTGTATGCTGCCCTTGTTAATATAAAAGCTCTGTATACTGCCCCTTGTTAATATACAAAGCTCTGTATGCTGCCCCTTGTTAATATAAAAGCCCTGGGTACTGCCCCTTGTTAATATAAAAGCTCTGTATACTGCCCCTTGTTAATATACAAAGCTATGTATGCTGCCCCTTGTTAATATACCAAGCCCTGTATACTGCCCCTTGTTAATATACCAAGTACTAACTGGGGACTAATAATTTGGGCTTAATAACAATCAAAATTGTCAATACAATATAGGACAATATATATGTTAACAAGATTATACTGACAAATGATGACAGTATAACAAGGTTTTACTGACAAATGCTTGCTTTACTGCTAATTACAATGATAAGAACTTAGTTATTGACATGGATTTGACAGTATTAACACTGAAAAGTGTTTTACAGTGTTAGGTTATGCTTTTTTCATTGAAGAAAATGAAGTCCAGATAATTCATAATTTGAAATATTTGTTAATTTCTCACACAAGTTCGGCTGACTTAATTTAAATGACTGGTGTATTGTACAGAGCGTGTTTTGAAGTGTGACCTCTTGTTTGTTTCAGTGGTTCTGTGATTGGACCAACCTTTCAGTTCAATGTCCAGAAGCTCAAGTTTGGGGTTATATCATACGGTAAGCTGTTACATTAGATAGGATCATCTTCCAACAATTCTTAATTTCAAAACATGAAAGTATGTATGATTTTCTTTTAGCTCTCCAAATGCAGAGCATTTTATTACCATGCAATCCATCCGTCTACTCACTAACCTTTCGATTACAACAATACCTCTTTTTTCAGAATCTTTCCTGCATGAGATGAAAATTGTATGGAAGTTGTTACCTGGTATCATATTGTAACATAGGAACAATTTGTTAAATTTTATGATAGTTTACCTGTTTGGTCAATTTCATTCCTCTACTGCTCTAGCAAATTTGACCTGAAATAATTCTAAAAATGTTTCCATCCTCAACACATCCAGAAGATAATTCTAGTTTCCAGAGTGTGTATTTATTTTCTTATAACATTTCAATATTTTGATACATTTTGTACAAGAATGGTTCTGAAGGGGTCTAAGTATGACAATGGCTCTATTTAAGATCAAAATCGTTTTTTGAAATTCTTTTAAAGGTGCTTAATTGTTGAAACCTTGCATTCAAATATTAGATTTATTTACAATTGAATTAACACATCTACTAAAGCCTGTATGTAGTTCTTTCTGTTAACATTTCAATACTTTGATATATTTTGTTCAGGAATGTATCAGAAGGGTTGGAAGAGTAACACTTTGCTCTGGAAAAACCTAAGAAATTTCTTGAAAATTCCATCTGAAAGGGCTATTTAGAAACCTTGTAGTCAAAATGTCAGAATGGATTTAAAACAAGAAGCTACAATTGTATTGTTGACTTGTATTTATGTACTGACCTGTCTGTTGTTATCAGGGTTCCTCAATACAGAGACTTGTGTGTTACAAAACACATCATTGGTACCCATGAGTTTCCATCTGAGGGTGCCGGGAGATGGCAGCTCTGACAGTATCTGTTGTACCAATGACCTTGACAGTGCTCACAGTGATAGGGGCTCTCCCACCGCCAGACCAGGGGCAGGGCCTCCAAAGGAGTTTGAGATTATCCCTGCATCTGGAACACTTCAACCACAAAGTGAAATCAAAATCACAGTCAACTTCATCTCCAACACGATTAAGAAGTATGAGATGGCTATGGTTGTTGACGTGGTCAATGTCGGGGAGGAGATCTTGACACTCCCCATTTATGCTAAGTAAGTTCACCACCATTAGTTCCTGAAAGTCATATATTGTATTGACAATTTTGATTGTTATTAAGCCCAAATTATTAGTCCCCAGTTAATACTTCTAAAGGGAACTGTAGGTTTGTAATTCGTCCATCAGTCGGGAACTATAGGTTTATAATTCGTCCATCAGTCGGGAACTATAGGTTTGTAATTCGTCCATCAGTCGGGAACTATAGGTTTGTAATTCGTCCATCAGTCGGGAACTATAGGTTTGTAATTCGTCCGTCAGTCGGGAACTATAGGTTTGTAATTTGTCCATCAGTCGGGAACTATAGGTTTGTAATTCATCCATCAGTCGGTCTGCCAGATAATGTGTCACTGTGTCCATCTCTCTTGTACTTTTTCACCTGCAGTTGCCAAACTTATACGTGGCTACTGGCTGGGATGGCAGAATGTACCACACTAAAATCTAGTCTCATGTTCCACTCTGTATAGAATTTATATTAATGTTAGAAGTTATGAACTATATTACTGACTGCCTTGTGGAGTGATACTCGGGTTTAACAGATATTACAATCATTCCAAACTTTATATTGCTGAGCCCATGCTTTATATTGACAGATGTATTGTGCCCAATGTGTCTTAGCTGAGCCCAAGGCTTTATATTGACAGATGTATTGTGCCCAATGTGTCTGTGCTGAGCCCAATGTTTTATATTGACAGATGTATTGTGCCCGATGTTTCTGTGCTGAGCCCAATGCTTTATATTGACAAATGTATTGTGCCCAATGTGTCTTAGCTGAGCCCAAGGCTTTATATTGACAGATGTATTGTGCCCAATGTGTCTGTGCTGAGCCCAATGTTTTATATTGACAGATGTATTGTGCCCAATGTTTCTGTGCTGAGCCCAATGCTTTATATTGACAGGTTTGTTGTGCCCAATGTGTCTGTGCTGAGCCCAATGCTTTATATTGACAGGTTTATTGTGCCCAATGTGTCTGTGCTGAGCCTAATGCTTTATATTGACAGATGTATTGTGCCCAATGTGTCTTAGCTGAGCCCAATGATTTATATTGACAGGTGTATTGTGCCCAATGTGTCCGTGCTGAGCCCAATGCTGGACTATGGTCGGTGTTTTCTGAGGCATTCCTATGAACACAGTGTGAAGCTCCATAATGACACAGATCTACCTGCTAAATACGAGTTGGTTACACAGAATGTACATAGAGATACTCCCATCACATACAAGAGCCCACAGCCCAAGGTGAAACATCACGCGTGTTTGCCTGAATATACAAAAAAAACAAAACGGGAAAATTTATTAGAAAAAACTATTGAGTAAATGCTAGAGCTTTGTTTTTGCATAATTATCTAACTTGGACTGATGTCTGTTTCAAGTTTGGGGACACCCTTTTTTGCTATACTCAATGAATATTCAACAGGATTTTACAAGTCACAAGACAACTAGACATGTTTACAAAAAATCACAGTTTTTTAACCTACTGTTTTACTTAATCAGTAAAAAGAAGTTGTTACTTTTTGAATTTAAATCCTATGGTAATATTTGTGTCAGGTGAAAAGAGGAGCCGTTTTTGTTCACATTATATAATGAGGTTGTGATGACATTGTAGGGAATTGTGGAGCCTCACTCTCTGTGTGAGGTGCCAATCATCATACAAGCCGAGGCCCTAGAGGAGCAGCAGGTTATCTCATATTTCTCCATATTTGGAAGTCCAGATCCACCATTGGTAAATATAGTAAAAATTTAAAATACTCAGGAGTTTTTCAGTTTTGCTGTTGAGCTCTTTCCATAATTGCTTATAGTCATTGTTGCATGCTTGATCTTCTAACTAGGTGTTTAGGTACATAAGAAGAGACAAACTAGGTATGTAGGTACATGAGAAGAGACAAACTAGGTATGTAGGTATATGAGAAGAGACAAACTAGGTATATAGGTACATGTGAAGAGACAAACTAGGTATATAGGTACAGGAGAAGAGACAAACTAGGTATGTAGGTACATGAGAAGAGACAAACTGGGTATGTAGGTACAGGAGAAGAGACAAACTAGGTATGTAGGTACATGAGAAGAGACAAACTAGGTATATATGTAGGTACATGAGAAGAGACAAACTAGGTAAATGGCAACACTATAATCTTTATTTGACCTTGATCTTAAGTACTGAAATACTCTAGGTCATATCTCACCAAAAGTCTTCAGAATCTCCTTGAAGAGATGTGAGTACTAAAGACTAAAGACTATGAATTACATCAAATACCTGGGTGACATACATTTCTAGTAATTTAGTTAAATTATAGCATCACGAAAGAATAATGACAAACACTGCAATATGAGGTTTTCACCACATGATGCATTTATTGTACATGAACATCAACATGTAAAAGTCATGAACGTGATCAGATAGAAGAAGAGAAAAAAACAAAGTTATGTAGAACTAATGAATCTTATTGATGATGGACACAAAGATCCCCTGTGATCTCAAGTTCGTCAACTGGTACTTTTATTTCTTAGAATAATGAAATTGTACCAATGCAGTGTTTTGCATGCTAAACAAAACTTAATTAGGATTCTCTAAATACCTGTACAGTATACATAATTATACTTAACATTTGGGAAGAGATCGTCTCTGAAACTTCCAGTATATCAGAAAACTAGTTGTGATTCCTCTAAAATGTTGTCCAGCATGTGTGGAAATTAAGTGCCTTGGTTGTCAGGAGTTTTAGCATTAGTCAATAAATCATTGTTATTAAAATTAACAGTGTATCCAATTTCATTGTTACTGATAGAGCAGAATTATGACTGTGCCTATAAATGCCCTGTTTACTTTTCAGTCGGTGCAGATAAGCTGTACTGGGGAGGGGCCTGTGGTCCATATCTCCCCTATGGACATTGACTGGAACGTAATCCCAGTACTCACAGATACACCCAGGAAAGTGATACTGTCGAACGAATCTCTTATTCCAGCAAAGTTCACGGCACATATGGTAAGTTCAAATGCATATTTTGTCACTTGATTATCCCTCTCCACTGAGGCTAACCAGATTAAATAATAAACTTTAGAATTTTCTAATTTATGGACGTTGAAGTTTATAACTATCTAGTAACTATAGGAAATACTCCGTTTCCAGAGCGTTTCTCTCTACACCTCCGTGTTATTTTTGGGGTCATCTCCTCAGTTCCTGTTAGCATCTTGTCAACCATGTTTTGAGTTCTGATTTGGCCTTGTGTCACGGTTCTGTGGTATTTATTGTCATACCTAAGATAGTATTGACTGCAAACACAGCAGAATGGGAAGAATTGTTCATGTAACCATGACCACGAACACAGTATCTTCTTCTGTAGTGTTTTCTCTTCCACATATAAAATTATGCTTTTGTCTTCAATGCTGATTAAAATCAGAAGAATCATCAAATTTGATTTATCTATGGTAATTAAACTTACATTATGTTTGTTTTAGGTGAGACAGAAATCGGTGTTCCGTGTAGAGCCAGCCGAGGGAGAAATCCCTGCAGAAAAGACACTTGAACTCACAATAACAGCTAACCTCAATGATTGTGTGAGGTAGGCCAGTAAAACTGACAGCTTAGATGATTTTAACTTTGTCAGCGCTAGCTTACCTTCAAAGATTTACAATCCTACTACAGATATGTGTGATCATAACGTACTTCTTGCTTTAAGTAGTCATGGAAATATATGCTGAATATCTCAATCAAATCAACAAATAAACGGTGTTTAGAAAAATGAAAGTCGGCTACAAAATATCTGAACCAAACAATTTTCTTTGTAGAGTCCCATCAGTTGGACCTTTGACTATGAACTCTTTGTGTGTATCAACAGGTGGAAAACATCAGACAAACACGTAATCTGTTTATATTGAATTTTGCTGAATGTTTTCTTACCGACAAATGAGGAGGGATATTAAATGGAATATGTTATTTTGACAGGTTCCAAGATAAGTTGCAAGTTAATTTCTTGGAGAGCCAGGTTCGTCATATCCCCTTGACAGCGTATGGCCAAGGCACCACTATAGTCTCAGATCCTCCGCTCACTCCTCATCTGAACCTGGGGCCAAACTTCAGGTAAGCTTGTGATCGTCAAACCTCAGGTAACGTTGACAACGACAAGCCTTAGGTACAATTTATGATTAATCTTGACAGGTCAAATATGGACTTGATTGGTTAGATGTCATGGTCACTGTTGTTAAATATAAAATTTAACTTGCACATTCCTCATCATCAGTTTTGAATTTTTTTTATGAAACTTCATGCACTTGTTTTCCCTTTACATAACTATTGTAAACCTTGCACACTTTTCTAAATGAAAAGCAAGAATTTTAAATTCGAGTGATAGACTGTGGTAACAAATGTAAACTCATTTATATATAACCCTGTACAGGTACTTAAATTAAAAAATGACATCATTGAAAAAACGGTCAATTTGAACATAATAGTCTGTTCATATTTAGTTCACTATATACGTTGTTGTATATTTAATTAGTAACCGCCCCCTACAGAAGACATTCACTTTGACCAACAAGAGCCGACGACACCAACAGCTGGTTTGGAGTATGGATGGCTTTGGGCCCATTGCCAAAGCTAAAAAGGAAATTGCCTCCTACAATGCACTTGACATGAAGTTCAAGGTATGTACCTCAGTAACTGTAGAATGTTTATTGTGTATGCACGTAAACATCATTGTGTACACATGTAAACATCATTGTGTACACACGTAAACATCATTGTGTACACATGTAAACATCATTGTGTACACCCGTAAACATCATTGTGTACACACATAAACATCATTGTGTACACGTAAACATCATTGTGTACACACGTAAACATCATTGTGTGCACACATAAACATCATTTTGAACCCTCATTAACATCGTTGCATACACACATAAACATCATAGTGAAAACACGTAAACATCATTTTGAACCCTCATTAACATCGTTGCATACACCCATAAACATCATTGTGTAACCCCGTAAACATCATTGTGTTCACACGTAAACATCATTTTGTACACACGTAAACATAATTTTGAACACTCGTTAGCATCGCTGCGTACACCTGTTAACATCATTGTGTACCAACGTAAACATAATTGTGTACACACGTAGACATCATTGTGTACACATCTAAACATCATTGTGTACCCGCGTAAACATCATTGTGTGCACACATAAACATCATTGTCAAAACACGTAAACATCATTTTGTACACACGTAAACATAATTTTGTACACTTGTAAACATCATTGTGTACTCCCGTAAACATCATTGTGTGCACACATAAACATCATTGTGTACTCCCGTAAACATCATTGTGTGCACACATAAACATCATTTTGAACCCTCATTAACATCGTTGCATACACCCATAAACATCATTGTGTATACACATAAACATCATTGTGTAACCCCGTAAACATCATTGTGTGCACACATAAACATCATTTTGAACACTCGTTAACATCGTTGCGTACACACGTTAACATCATTGTGTACCAACGTAAACATAATTGTGTACACACGTAAACATCATTGTGTACACACATAAACATCATTTTGAACACACGTAAACATCGTTGTGTACACACGTAAACATCATTTTGAACACTCGTTAACATCATTGCGTACACATGTTAACATCATTGTGTACCAACGTAAACATCATTGTGTACACACGTAAACATCATTTTGAACACTCATTAACATCATTGCATACACACGTAAACATCATTGTGTACACACGTTAACATTGTGCAGAAGAAACCCAGTTTTTGGTAAATGATCACTTTATTACCTCTGTGCCACCTGAACCACCTGGAGTGAGGTATCTCAGATGATTGATGGTCAAATGGTCCACTTTTATTGTCACTAACGTTTTAGAATTCTCGGTTTTCTTAAGCCTGCTGAAGGGAAGATAACTTTTGCATTAGTTTATTGATATGGTAAACAAACAATTTTCAGAACACTCCCCCACCACCAGAACCTAGACGGCCCATATTCAAGCTGAACCCCAACAGGTTTGACCTACCACCAGGTGCTAGCATGGACATGCACATAGAAGGAATGGTGGACAGGTAAGTATCATGCCTTTCTTGTTTCTATTTCTTAATATCATGAAACAATAAATTAATGTTCTGTTGATGTCTAGTGCCTAGAATTAAACCCATGTCAAGGTTTCCAAGGCATTGCTAAGTAGAGGGCAATGGAACATGAATGACCTAAATGTCATATGACAAAACAGAAAGTTCAGATAATCAAATGGGGAACAACTTTAAGCAAATTTATCAATGAAAAGTAGATGAATTGTTCTTTTATTTTATGAAATTTAGATAAAAAACACAAGATTGGCAGAAATCTTCATTTTGTTCTTTTATATTTACAGTCCCCAGAATGTGAAAGAGAGGCTGATGTGTCACGCAATCATTGGACGTCAGGGAGGGAAAGAGCTGATCATGAGAGTGGACGTGTCAGCCGACTTCATCAGTCCATTGTTAGAGTTCTCTACGAAAGCCGTCTACTTCAGGGTTGACAAGGTCAGCACTTCAAGCATGACTAACCTATACTGAGTCTGTACAGATATTACAGAAGTTACTTACCTGTACCAAATCTGTACAGATATTAAAGAAGTTACTAACCTATAACAAGTCTGTACATATATTACAGAAGCTACTAACCTATGCCAAATCTGTGAGATATTACAGAAGTTACTAACCTATCCCAAATCTGTGAGATATTACAGAAGTTATTAACCTGTACAAAATCTGTACATATATTACAGAAGTTCCTAACCTATACCGCGTCTGTACAGATATTACAGAAGTTACTTACCTGTACCGAGTCTATACATATATTACAGAAATTACTAACCTCTACGGAGTCTGTACAGATATTACAGAAATTACTTACCTATACCCAGTCTGTACATATATTACAGAAATTACTAACCTGTACCAAATCTGTACAGATATTATAGAAGTTATTAACCTGTACCGAGTCTGTACAGATATTACAGAAATTACTTACCTATACCCAGTCTGTACATATATTACAGAAATTACTAACCTCTACGGAGTCTGTACAGATATTACAGAAGTTACTAACATGTACCAAATCTGTACAGATATTAAAGAAGTTACTAACCTATACCGAGTCTGTATAGATATTAAAGAAGTTACTAACCTATAACAAGTCTGTACATATATTACAGAAGTTACTATTAACATCATTGCGTACACATGTTAACATCATTGTGTACCAACGTAAACATCATTGTGTACACACATGTTTATGTGTGTACACACGTAAACATCATTGTGTACACACATGTTTATGTGTGTACACACGTAAACATCATTGCGTACACAATGATGTTTACATGTGTCCCCCATGATGTTTACGTGTGTACACAATTATGTTTACGTTGGTACACAATGATGTTAACATGTGTACGCAATGATGTTAATAGTAACTTCTGTAATATATGTACAGATTTGGTACAGGTTAGTAACTGCTGTAATATCTCACAGATTTGGCAAAGGTTAGTAACTTCTGTAATATATGTATAGACTCGGTACAGGTAAGCAACTTCTGTAATATATGTACAGATTCGGTATAGGTTAGTAACTTCTGTAACTGTAATATATGTACAGACTCGGTATAGGTTAGTCACTTCTGTAATATCTGTACAGATTTGGTACATGTTAGTAACTTCTGTAATATCTGTACAGACGCGGTATAGGTTAGTAACTTCTGTAATGTATGTACAGACTTGGTATATGTTAGTAACTTCTGTAATATCTGTACAAACTCGGGATCGGTTAGGAACTTCTGTAAATTCCCCTCACAGGCTGTGTAGTATCATATGCCCAATCTGATAGATTTGAATCTAGGTATATTGCTATTCTGATAGATTGGTATCTAGGTACATTGCTAATCTGATAGATTTGAATCTAGGTATATTGCTATTCTGATAGATTGGTACCTAGATACCAATCTATCAGAATAGCAATATACCTAGATTCAAATCTATCAGATTAGCAATATCCCTAGATACAAATCTATCTTATATTACAGAAGTGACTAACCTATACCGAGTCTGTACAGATATTACAGAAGTTACTAACATATACCAAGTCTGTACATATATTACAGAAGTTACTAACCTATGCCAAATCTGTGAGATATTACAGAAGTTACTAACCTATACCGAGTCTGTACATATATTACAGAAATTACTAACCTCTACTGAGTCTGTACAGATATTACAGAAGTTACTAACCTATACCAAGTCTGTACATATATTAGTTACTTACCTATACCGAGTCTATACATATATTACAGAAGTTACTAGCCTGTACCAAGTCTGTACATATATTACTGAGTCTGTACAGATATTACAGAAATTACTAACCTATACCGAGTCTGTGCAGATATTACAGAAGTTACTAACCTGTGCCAAGTCTGTACATATATTACAGAATTTACAAACCTATACCAAGTCTGTACAGATATTACAGAAGTTAGTAACCTATACCGAGTCTGTACAGATATTACAGAAGTTACTAACCTGTACCAAGTCTGTACATATATTACAGAAGTTACTAAACTATACCGAGTCTGTACATATATTACAGAAGTTACTAACCTGTACTGAGTCTGTACAGATATTACAGAAGTTCCTAACCTATACCGCGTCTGTACAGATATTACAGAAGTTACTATCCTGTACCAAATCTGTACATATATTACAGAAGTTACTAAACTATCCCGAGTCTGTACATATATTACAGAAGTTACTAAACTATCCCGAGTCTGTACATATATTACAGAAGTTACTTACCTGTACCGAGTCTTTACATATATTACAGAAGTTACTAACCTGTACCAAGTCTGTACATATATTACAGAAGTTACTAACCTATACCGAGTCTGTACATATATTACAGAAGTTACTAACCTGTACCAAGTCTGTACATATATTACAGAAGTTACTAAACTATACCGAATCTGTACATATAATACAGAAGTGACTAACCTGTACCAAGTCTGTACATATATTACAGAAGTTACTAACCTATACCGCGTCTGTACAGATATTACAGAAGTTACTATCCTGTACCAAATCTGTACATATATTACAGAAGGTACTAACTTATACCGAATCTGTACATATAATACAGAAGTGACAAACCTGTACCAAGTCTGTACATATATTACAGAAGTTACTAACCTGTACCAAATCTGTACAGATATTACAGAAGTTACTAACCTGTACCAAATCTGTACAGATATTACAGAAGTTACTAACCTGTACAAAATCTGTACATATATTACAGAAGTTACTAACCTATACCAAGTCTGTACATATATTACAGAAGTGACTAACCTTTACCGAGTGTGTACAGATATTACAGAAGTTACTAACCTATGCCAAATCTGTACATATATTACAGAAGTTACTAATCTGTACCGAGTCTGTACATATATAACAGATTTTTTTATTTTTTTTACCGCTTTCACAGATAATGGCTCTTGCTTTAACTTGATCTGAAAGGATGTGACCAGACTCTTTATCAAACCTTTCTGTTGTTATCTTTACAGAAACCAGAGGAGGAGTTAACCGTCCAGACGAGAGAGCTTAAGATGACCAATGTGTCCACATTGCCTTTATCCACCGGTCTGAAACTACAACACCCATTTCAAATCGTAATGGATGATGGTTCATTAACATCAGAAATGGCAAGTACTAAATCCATTTTTAATTTTATTATAGAACCTGGTGCAAAACAATCGTGGTGTTTGAATCTGAAGTAAACAAAACCATGCAAGTTGTTAATCATTATTATCTCACCTGCCCAAAGGGATTGCATGTGAGGGGAACATGATACTACACAGCCTGTGAGGGGAACATGATACTACACAGCCTGTGAGGGGAACATGATACTACACAGCCTGTGAGGGGAACATGATACTACACAGCCTGTGAGGGGAATATGCTACAACACAGCCTGTGAGGGGCATATGATACTACACAGCATGTAAGGGGCATATGATACTACACAGCCTGTGAGGGGAATATGCTACAACACAGCCTGTGAGGGGCATATGATACTACACAGCATGTAAGGGGCATATGATACTACACAGCATGTGAGGGGCATATATTTGTTCTGCTCACGAAGTACTTTTGTAAGATGGATACATCAATAAATTGAACACGTTAAGTAAAATGTTTGGTGACCATTTTTATGTGTGACAGGATGTAAGACTCAACGTCAATGAAGAGTACACACTCATGATCCAGTTTGACCCCGCCTATAAAGATGACCTCCACATACGCACCATTGATGATATTCTTCATGTCACCTACCAGGAACATCCTCACATAGTAAGTCATGTCATCTGCTATATCTGATTACAAAAGCATGGAGATAATACATATACTAAACATAGGAGGAATTATTTCAAACATTCTGCATTTTCCCCCTTTTGGCCTTTTAAATCATATTGGCTAATGCCTACTAAACTACTCTTATTAATATGTATTATTAGTTTTTGTGCTTTGGAAACTAAAAGTGTTATGGCAATGTGATACAGCAATTGGCAAGAAGTGTATTGATGATAAAATACCTAAATATTTTTATAGGACATATTTTAAGGGAGATGTTCATTGTTTTAGAAAAAGATGAAAAGTAGTGTTGGTAATTTCAGGACTACATAGCACTTAGAGGAGAGGTGTACTTTCCTAACATTGACTTTGAGAAGAGCGTCGTAGACTTTGGCTGTATTCTGAACGACACAGAGGTGACTAGGTATGTCAACATAACTAACAACAGTCCCATGGAGGTGAAGTACCACTGGTCCTTTTTGGTGGGTAAGGAGCCGAATGTGGTGATCAGACACCCACCCAAGCCTGTGGTGACGCTGCCACATATTGAGGAGGCAGAGGAGGCAGCTTCAGAGGTCCATCCGGAGATCGCTGTTCTTATACAGGAGCCATCACTTCTTGTGGATGATGAAGAGGACAGAGAGGAGGAGGAGGAAAAGGCTGACCTTGAACCTACAAAAGTTTGTATAAAAATGTTAATATAAACACAAAGATCCTTGTCAGAAGTATCAATAGTTTGTATAAAAATGTTAATATAAACACAAAGATCCTAGTCAGAAGTATCAATATTTTTTATAAACAAGTTAATATAAACACCAAATTCCTTGTCAGAAGTATCAATAGTTTGTATAAACAAGTTAATATAAACACAAAGATCCTTGTCAGAAGTATCAATAGTTTGTATAAACAAGTTAATATAAACACAAAGATCCTTGTCAGAAGTATCAATAGTTTGTATAAAAATGTTAATATAAACACAAAGATCCTTGTCAGAAGTATCAATAGTTTGTATAAACATGTTAATATAAACACAAAGATCCTTGTCAGAAGTATCAATAGTTTGTATAAACATGTTAATATAAACACAAAGATCCTTGTCAGAAGTATCAATAGTTTGTATAAACATGTTAATATAAACACAAAGATCCTTGTCAGAAGTATCAATAGTTTGTATAAACATGTTAATATAAACACAAAGATCCTTGTCAGAAGTATCAATAGTTTGTATAAACATGTTAATATAAACACAAAGATCCTTGTCAGAAGTATCAATAGTTTGTATAAACATGTTAATATAAACACAAAGATCCTTGTCAGAAGTATCAATAGTTTGTATAAACATGTTAATATAAACACAAAGATCCTTGTCAGAAGTATCAATAGTTTGTATAAACATGTTAATATAAACACAAAGATCCTTGTCAGAAGTATCAATAGTTTGTATAAACATGTTAATATAAACACAAAGATCCTAGTCAGAAGTATCAATAGTAAGGTCCTTGTGAATACTAGCAACACACAGGTTCCTCGCTATAACTAATATGTCATATCTAGCTATATATCTGATACAAATTTATCAGATTAGCAATATCCCTAGATACAAATCTATCTGATTAGCAATATCCCTAGATTCAAATCTATCAGATTAGCAATGTACCTAGATACCAATCTATCAGAATAGCAATATACCTAGATTCAAATCTATCAGATTAGCAATATCCCTAGATTCAAATCTATCAGATTAGCAATATCCCTAGATTCAAATCTATCAGATTAGCAATATCCCTAGATACAAATCTATCAGATTAGTAATATACCTAGATTCAAATTTATCATATTAGCAATATCCCTAGATTCAAATTTATCAGATTAGCAATATCCCTAGATTCAAATCTATCAGATTAGCAATGTACCTAGATACAAATCTATCAGATTAGCAATGTACCTAGATACAAATATAGTAATATACAAATCTGCCTAAGTTATCAATGTTTCAAGATACAAGTCTGACAGATTAGCAAACAGCCAACCAAGCTGGGTGATATTGTCCCTCTGTATAGCTAATAACATATTGTTATGATTCATTCATAATAATCAGATTTTATCTCCCAAGCAGGTAAGGACTATTTCATTTATTCATTATGGAATTAATGAGAAAATATCATCTGTCCATAGGAAAGTGATATATTGCTAGGCAGCAGTATCCATGGTGATGCAGATGACCTACACAAGGAGCAAGATTCTGACCGTTCATTTGACAACAAAGTTACAGAGGAGCACCAATCCAGCTTTCACACACAGGACGATGACAGTCTGAAAGCCACCGACAGTGATGATGACAGGCCAGAAAAGGGACAACTGGAGCAGGAGGAGGCCCCCGAAGGAGGAGGCATTGACAAGAACCAAATGGAGGGATTAAGATTGAGTTTAACATCTCTCCGTGACATTGCCATTGATGAAGATCCGCTCCAGACAAACCGTGCCCTGAGTGCTCTGTTAGAAGTGGACCGGGATGAAACCCCAGTGGGCATTGAGGAGGTGTTTGACATCTTGCCCCTCTATGGTATACTTCAGCCAGGTGATACAGAGCAGGTGACGATGACCTTTTATGGACATGCAGACATCTGGGGAGAGACGAAGGCTATCTGTGTAGTAGAAGGAGGACCCACTTATGAACTTCTCCTCAAAGGAGAGGCGTCCTTGGTCGATTACAAGATAGATTGTAAGGAAATTGATTACGGGAAACAGGTATGTGAAAGAAATAGAATGTCTTATTAACAGTGTAATCATAATGTCTTATTAACAGTGTAATCACACAGAACGGAGGTCCTACTCCACTTACATTAATATTTACCGTTATCAAAAAGAGGTCATAATCAACTTTCATCAATATTTAGCTCATCTGCTTAGATGGCAAGCTTGGCCTTGTTCTTCTTTCAGTCTTACAGGGAGCAAATATCCCCTACAGTCTGAAATATCTGATCTAATATACGGACTCCTTTCCCTAGCTGTTCCCTTCACGGTCTTAAAACGAGGCAGTAAACACAGGTGATCTGATGGAGATGCACAGTTTGCTGTTATGAAATCATGGCGACATCTTATTATTTGAAGGAGAAGTGTTTGCTTTTGAATTTAAAGTATTGAGGAGTAATAATGACTTGTTTGTTTACAGATGTATGATCAAGTGGCTTCAGCAGAAATAACCCTTTGCAATAGTGGAAAGGTCGGCTTTGAGTTTTGTGCCATGGGGATGGACCCGACCCTGGCCAAAAAACCTGCTCCCGGAGTTCCTATCATGGTTCCTCATGCTGTAAGTATGGAAGGGCAAGGTCATAATCAAGGCCTTCAATTTAGATCAAGGTCACAAAAAGACTGCCATCTCAGGTTAAGGTCACAAAAGGACCGCCATCTCTGATTAAGGTCACAAAAGGACCGCCATCTCTGGTTAAGGTCACAAAAGGACCGCCATCTCTGATTAAAGTCACAATAGGACCGCCATCTCTGATTAAGGTCACAATAGGACCGCCATCTCTGGTTAAGGTCAAAAAAGGACCGCCATCTCTGGTTAAGGTCAAAAAAGGACCGCCATCTCTGGTTAAGGTCACAAAAGGACCACCATCTCTGATTAAGGTCACAAAAGGACCGCCATCTCTGATTAAGGTCACAAAAGGACCGCCATCTCTGGTTAAGGTCACAAAAGGACCGCCATCTCTGATTAAAGTCACAATAGGACCGCCATCTCTGATTAAGGTCACAATAGGACCGCCATCTCTGGTTAAGGTCAAAAAAGGACCGCCATCTCTGGTTAAGGTCAAAAAAGGACCGCCATCTCTGGTTAAGGTCACAAAAGGACCACCATCTCTGATTAAGGTCACAAAAGGACCGCCATCTCTGATTAAGGTCACAAAAGGACCGCCATCTCTGGTTAAGGTCAAAAAAGGACCGCCATCTCTGATTAAAGTCACAAAAGGACCGCCATCTCTGATTAAGGTCACAAAAGGACCGCCATCTCTGATTAAGGTAAAAAAAGGACCGCCATCTTTGGTTAAGGTCACAAAAGGACCGCCATCTCTGGTTAAGGTCACAAAAGGACCGCCATCTCTGGTTAAGGTCACAAAAGGACCGCCATCTCTGGTTAAGGTCACAAAAGGACCGCCATCTCTGGTTAAGGTCACAAAAGGACCGCCATCTCTGGTTAAGGTCACAAAAGGACCGCCATCTCTGGTTAAGGTCACAAAAGGACCGCCATCTCTGGTTAAGGTCACAAAAGGACCGCCATCTCTGGTTAAGGTCACAAAAGGACCGCCATCTCTGGTTAAGGTCACAAAAGGACCGCCATCTCTGGTTAAGGTCACAAAAGGACCGCCATCTCTGGTTAAGGTCACAAAAGGACCGCCATCTCTGGTTAAGGTCACAAAATGAGCGCCATCTCTGGTTAAGGTCACAAAATGAGCGCCATCTCTGGTTAAGGTCACAAAAGGAATGCCATCTAGGGTTTAGGTCACAAAAGGACCGCCATCTCTGATTAAGGTCACAATAGGACCGCCATCTCTGGTTAAGGTAAAAAAAAGGACCGCCATCTCTGGTTAAGGTAAAAAAAAAGGACCGTTATCTCTGGTTAAGTCAAAAAAGGACTGCCATCTCTGGTTTAGGTCACAATAGGACCGCCAATTCTGATTAAGGTCACAAAAGGACCACCATCAGAACCTTTATCTTAAGTAAAGGTCATGTCATAACAAGGACATTCTTCTCAGTCAATGTCATAACCTTCATCTGACAATCAAGACAGGACCTTTGTTTCATCTCAAGGTGTACCAGACACATTGGAGGTAGACACGGTGTACAGTTGAGCGTAGTTGTGTCGACTGTGATGGCATTGATGGGTACTAGTGTAATTAATGTATACATACTAGTGTAGGTAATGGATAATAGTGTAATTGATGGGTACTAGTGTAATTGATGGATACTAGTGTAATTGATGGCTACTAGTGTAATTGATGGATAATAGTGTAAATGATGGATCCATACTAGTGTAATTGATGGCTACTAGTGTAATTGATGGATACTAGTGTAATTGATGGGTACTAGTGTAATTGATGGCTACTAGTGTAATTGATGGCTACTAGTGTAATTGATGGCTACTAGTGTAATCGATGGATAATAGTGTAATTGATGGCTACTAGTGTAATTGATGGCTACTAGTGTAATTGATGGATAATAGTGTAATTGATGGATACATACTAGTGTAATTGATGGCTACTAGTGTAATTGATGGGTACTAGGGTAATTAATGTATACATACTAGTGCAATTAATGTAAACATACTAGTGTAGGAAATGGATACTAGTGTAATTGATGGCTACTAGTGTAAGTGATGGATACTAGTGTTATTGATGGGTACTAGTGTAATTGATGGGTACTAGGGTAATTAATGTATACATACTAGTGTAATTGATGGTTACTTGTGTAATTGATGGGTACTAGTGTGATTAATGTATACATACTAGTGTAGGTAATGGATAATAGTGTAATTGATGGATACATACTAGAGTAATTGATGGCTACTAGTGTAATTGATGGGTACTAGTGTAATTAATGTATACATACTAGTGTAATTAATGGGTACTAGTATAATTGATGGATACTAGTGTAATTGATGGGTACTAGTGTAATTAATGTATACATACTAGTGTAATTAATGTAAACATACTAGTGTAGTTAATGGATACTAGTGTAATAGATGGGTACTAGTGTAATTGATGGATACTAGTGTAATTGATGGATACTAGTGTAGTTGATGGCTGCTAGTGTAATTGATGGCTACTAGTGTAATTAATGTATGGATACTAGTGTAATTAATGTATACATACTAGTATAATTGATGGTTACTAGTGTAATTGATGGGTACTAGTGTAATTGATGGCTACTAGTGTAATTGATGGCTACTAGTGTAATTAATGTATACATACTGGTGTAATTGATGGGTACTAGTGTAATTGATGGGTACTAGTGTAATTGATGGATACAAGTGTAATTGATGGATACTAGTGTAATTGATGGGTACTAGTGTAATTAATGTATACATACTGGTGTAATTGATGGGTACTAGTGTAATTGATGGGTCCTAGTGTAATTGATGGATACAAGTGTAATTGATGGATACTAGTGTAATTGAGGAATACTAGTGTAATTGATGGATACTAGTGTAATTAATGTATACTAGTGTAATTGAAATGAATATAGAAAGAGTAACCTTCTGTAATTTCTTTCTTATTTGTCCTCAGGAAAAGTGGTGTTTGTGTGGTTTAACTTGACTATTGGTTTGTTTGTAAAGGGTTTTGTGGAACCATTATCAGAGCAAAAGCTGGTGATAAAGTATCTACCTGGTGTCCCAGAAGTCTTCTCCAAAACATTCAACATCCAAGTGGCACACTTTGAACCAGACAAGATTTGTATCCAAGGGGAGGGTGTTTTTCCACGGATATCTCTGGATCTGCCACGAACTTCCGATCCTGAGGGACATTACCTGGAGACTGTGCGCCAAGCTAAGGAGAATCTATACTCCGGCAAGACATACCCTAAACCATTGACAGAACGTCCCCAGAGTGGCCTCCCCTCATCACAAAGAGTGCCGGGTGATCAGCTCATGACTCAGGTTAGTCCATAGAAAGACATCTCTTCATCATAAAAAGTGATTAGCAATCCGAACATCAAAAAGCATTCTGGGGATTCTCTCATCATAAAGGGTGTTGGAGATTTCCACATCATAAAGGGTGTTGGAGATTCCCACATCATAAAGGGTGTTGGAGATTCCCTCATCATAAAGGGTGTTGGAGATTCCCACATCATAAAGGGTGTTGGAGATTTCCTCATCATAAAGGATGTTGGAGATTTCCTCATCATAAAGGGTGTTGGAGATTTCCTCATCATAAAGGGTGTTGGAGATTCCCACATCATAAAGGATGTTGGAGATTCCTTCATCATCAAAGGTGTTGGAGATTTCCTCATCATAAAGGGTGTTGGAGATTTCCTCATCATAAAGGGTGTTGGAGATGCCCTCATCATAAAGGGTGTTGGAGATTTCCTCATCATAAAGGATGTTGGAGATTCCCACATCATAAAGGGTGTTGGAGATTTCCTCATCATAAAGGGTGTTGGAGATGCCCTCATCATAAAGGGTGTTGGAGATTTCTTCATCATAAAGGGTGTTGGAGATTTCTTCATCATAAAGGATGTTGGAGATTTCCTCATCATAAAGGATGTTGGAGATTCCCACATCATAAAGGGTGTTGGAGATTCCCACATCATCAAGGGTGTTGGAGATTTCTTCATCATAAAGGATGTTGGAGATTTCCTCATCATAAAGGATGTTGGAGATTCCCACATCATAAAGGGTGTTGGAGATTTCCTCATCATAAAGGGTGTTGGAGATTCCCACATCATAAAGGGTGTTTGAGATTCCCACATCATAAAGGGTGCTAGGGATTCCCACATTGTGAGGGGATCCCCACATCACAAATTTGACAAAGAAGTAAATAAATGTAAACCATAAAAATATGTACATTAGCAAAACTTCAAAATATTGAATGGGAACTAAATAAAAAAATACATGTTTATACAGGGGGACATTCCAGCTCAGCCACCAGAGTTGGATGTACAAATGGAGCTAGAGAGGCTGACTGTCAAGGAGTTTTCAATGGAGATGCAACAAATTCAATCAGTTCGTACCAACGCTGGATTAGACATGACTCCACCTGACAGCAACGAGACCCGTGAGTCTACAGACACGGAGGGACGACCTAAACGAAAGAAAGTCAAGTGAGTAAGATTTCTATTCAAAAGACCAGCATCTTCATAAGTATGAGCACAGTCATTACATTTTATACCAAAATAAAATAACATGATTCTTGTGAGCATTATTTCTTACTCTAACACCCTACCAGTACACACTACCATTACACACTACCATAACACACTACCGTTAAACACTACCATTACACACTACCATTACACCCTACCATTACACACTACCATTACACACTACCATAACACACTACCTTTAAACACTACCATTACATCCTACCATTACACACTACCATCACAGACAACCATTACACACTACCATTAAATACTACCAGTTGGATCAGTTACATTTTTAAACAAGGACTCATAAGGTGCAGTGATGATACTTAGGTTTTACTGTTAACCTACTGGAAATTCATCTGTTTGTAAACATTTAATCTGAATCACCCTAGAATTCATATATAGTGGGATTCGTTTCGGAGCAGCACTGAATAACAGGTGAGATACAAGCAGTTGGGTCTCTTTTTTAAAAAAATGTTTTAAGTCAGAAGTTTGTGTGAACCATGAAGTAATGTTACGTTGCAGACCTAAGCTGCCAGAGTACCTGCTAGACTTTGGCTATGTGGTGCTGGGAACAGTGAGGACTCACATTGTACGGGCCACAAACACAGGCTGGTTCCCAACTTCCTTCCAGGTTGAGCGAGAGGATATCCATCATTTTGGATTCCATGTGGAGTTGGACAGAGTTAGAAACCTGCCAGGAGCACCTGATCATGAGACAGTGGATTTTGTTGTTAGCTTTGATCCTAGAGGTGCTAACCTTTCTGAGGGGTCTGTAGAAACCATCGTTCCCATTAATGTAAGTATAGGACTAAGTGAAACATTAAACATCAGTTAAAATAAACCTTACACAAAGGTTTACATAAACCTAACTCATCAGTATAGATAAACCTTAATAAAAGTAAAGATAAACCTTACCAACAGTATAGATAAAGCATAAACATCAGTATAAATAAACTTAACCAACAGTGTTGATAAACCTTACCAACAGTATAGATAAAGCATAATCATCAGTATAAATAAACTTAACCAACAGTGTTGATAAACCTAACCAACAGTATAGATAAAGCTTAATCATCAGTATTAATAAACTTAACCAACAGTGTTGATAAACCTAACCAACAGTATAGATAAAGCATAATCATCAGTATGAATAAACTTAACCAACAGTGTTGATAAACCTAACCAACAGTGTTGAAAAACCTAACCAACAGTATATATAAACCTAACCAACAGTATAAATAAACTTAACCAACAGTGTTGATAAACCTAACCAACAGTATAGATAAAGCATAAAAATCAGTATAAATAAACTTAACCAACAGTATAGATAAAGCATAAACATCAGTATAAATAGAGCATAAACAACAATACCAATAAACCTAACCAACAGTATAGATAAACCTAAACAACAGTATAAATAAACCTAACCAACAGTATAGATAAAGCATAAACTTACCCAACAGTAAAGATAAAGCATAAACTTACCCAACAGTATTGATAAAGCATAAACAACAGTATAGATAAGCCTTACACATTGTGCTAACATTATAAGTGTATCGTTTGTTGACAGTCTGAGTGTGTTGTGTACATGTGGTGCTAACATTCAGTGTCATTTATACCAGTTCAGTTTTCCTTATGATTTTTGTGGTATGTTAAATCTTAATTCATTACAACGGGGAACATTTTAAGTCAAGTGTCAACATACTAAACAATTTCTTTACTTTAAAATCTATGCAGTGCAATTTAATATTTTTGATATATACCTCTATATGTTTGAAAAAAATCAATCTAATTTTAGTTTTAGAAATTTTGTCTAATGAATAAATAATGTTTGCTATGAATCAACTTGTCAAATCATAAGTATATATTAAGCTTGATTATAAATGAGATGATAAGTTTATAGTAATTTTAAACGCTACTTACAGATAATCAATGGCCCAGTGATACAGATCAGACTACGAGCCAAGGTGACCATGCCAGACATGGAGATCTCTGATGACACCTTAGACTTCAATGAAACCAAATGTGGGGAATGTAAGGTCATCACAGTGCAGCTTCACAATCAGCAGCAGGTCAAGTGTGAGTGGAACTCACTGCCTGCTGACAAGGACAGCAGAAAGGTCAGCACACGAATTATAGATATATAATTTACAGAATATCAGCAGTATCTCTATATAACGTTACCTACAGGATATCAGCACAATCTCTATATAAGTTTACCTACAGAATATCAGCACAATCTCTTTATAATGTTACCTACAGAATATCAGCACAATCTCTATATAAGGTTACCTACAGAATATCAGCACAATCTCTTTATAATGTTACCTACAGGATATCAGCACAATCACTTTATAAGGTTACCTACAGAATATCAGCACAATCTCTGTATAATGTTACCTACAGAATATCAGCACAATCTCTATATAAGGTTACCTACAGAATATCAGGCCAATCTCTATATAAGGTTACCTACAGAATATCAGGCCAATCTCTATATAAGGTTACCTACAGAATATCAGCACAATCTCTATATAAGGTTACCTACAGGATATCAGCACAATCTCAGTATAAGGTTACCTACAGAATATCAGCACAGTCTCTATATAACGTTACCTACAGGATATCAGCACAATCTCTATATAAGGTTACCTACAGAATATCAGCACAATCTCTTTATAATGTTACCTACAGAATATCAGCACAATCTCTATATTAGGTTACCTACAGAATATCAGCACAATCTTTTTATATGGTTACCTAAAGGATATCAGCACAATCTCTTTATAATGTTACCTACAGAATATCAGTACAATCTCTATATTAGGTTACCTACAGAATATCAGCACAATCTTTTTATAAGGTTACCTACAGGATATCAGCACAATCTCTATATAAGGTTACCTACAGAATATCAGCACAATCTTTTTATATGGTTACCTACAGGATATCAGCACAATCTCTTTATAACGTTACCTACAGAATATCAGCACAATCTCT